AAAAAAAAAAAAGACTAGTTTTTCCAGTGCTTACTAGCAGCGGCAGTATCATCTAGTCAACTAGTCTCTCACATCCCTACTACAAACCAGTGTGTTTATAATTATGCATTAAAATAATTTCATAACATATACCAGTTTGCAATATCAAGCAGCATAACAGACTATTTTGTACAGCTGAATGACACCGGAAGCCTCGCACGTTCAAGTTACTATAATGGCCGCAGCTGCTCTTACGTTAAAAATAATGCGGATAATCATTATTCACTCAGAACCTGGAAAGCGAAGGTCCTCGACAGATCTGCGGCTCCTCCGCTCCTGCTTCCAGCTGGCCGGAAGACGGACGAATCACCTTCCAGAATGTAGAAATGCGATATCGGGATGACCTTCCTCTGGTTCTGAAGAATCTCTCCTTTAGTGTACTTCCAGAAGAGACCGTAGGGATAGTTGGCAGAACGGGTTCAGGTACACCTGTCTACTTGGCTATTTTATACTCTCAGATGTCGTTTGTGTTCGTCTGTACTGCTGCGGTCGTATTACTGGTGGAAGAAATAGATTGTGACACAGGTGGGTTGTTTCTTCAGGGAAATCTTCACTGGGCGTCGCACTCTTCAGACTAGCAGAGCTCAGCCGAGGATCAATCATCATTGATGGTGTCAACATCGCTCACATTGGTCTGGAGGACTTGAGGAGCAAGCTATCAGTCATCCCCCAAGAGCCAGTTCTTTTCATTGGTACTGTCAGGTACGGTCCACGTCACTTTACCAAGACTAGCCGTGTGTTCTCATTCCTGGAGTCAAAATGATGCAACCCATTTAACTTGCACAGTGTCACATACAGTACTTCAATGTGAAACAGGATATTCAACAAGACAAAATATAGGACTAGACATTTTATCCATCTGGAATAGATCGGATTGTAAAAAAGTGGGCATTATATAAACTGCCGTTCAAAAGTTTTGGATCAGTAATATTTTTAATGTTTTTTTTTAAAGAAGGCTCTCAGATGCTTATCTAAGCCACATTTATTAAAAAAAAAAAAAAACTTCAGTAATATTGTGAAATATTATTACATATTATTATTATTTTTTTTTAATATGGTTTAAAATGTAATATATTTCTGTGATCAAAGCTGTATTTTCAGCATCATTACTCCAGTCTTCGGTGTGATATCCTTCAGAAATCATTCTAATATGCTGATTAGTTGTGCTGCTTAATATTTTTTTGGAACCAGTGATATTTTTTCAGGATTCTTTGATAAATAAAAAGTAAAAAAAAAAAAAAAAAAAAGCATTTATTCAAAAAAGAAATTCTTTGTAACAATTTACACCACTGTTCAAAAGTTTTAGGTCAGTACATTTTTTCTTTCTTTTTCTTTTTTTTTTTTTTTTTTAATGTATACTTTTATTCAGCAAGGAAGTGTTAAATTGATAAGAAGAGATAGTAAAGGGTTATATTGTTACAAAAGATTTCTATTTTTAATAAATGCTGTTCTTTTGAACTTTATTCATCAAAGAATCCTAAAAAAAAGTATCAAAGTTTCCAAAGAAATAATAAGCAGCAGAACTGTTTCCAGCACTGATAATAAATCAGCATATTAGAATGATTTCTGAAGATCATGTGACACTGAAGACTGGAGTAATGATGCTGAAAATTCAGCTTTGATCACAGCAATAAATTACAGTTTAACAATATATTCAAATAGAAAACACTTGTTTTAAATTGTAATAATATTTCACAATATTACTGTTTTTACTATATTTCTGATCAAATAAATGCAGCCTTGATGAGCAGAAGAGACTTCTTTCATTAAAAATCTTCCTGATCCCAAACTTTTGAATGGCATTTCAGAAGTAGAGCAAATAATTACATTTTGATGAAAGATTACAAAGACAAACATTTTTTTCCCCTTAAGAATAACATCTTCTTGATGAAGCGTGTGCAGTAAGACTAGGGTCAGTTTATGCTGACTAAGTTGCTTATATAACCAACAGATCAAATCTGGATCCCTGGGATCAATATACAGATGCACAGATCTGGGAAGCACTGGAGAAAACGCACATTAAGGACATGGTGAGTAAGAGCAGAAGGTTTTGGATTGATCTTCCAAAGTCTGACTTACTGTAGGAATGAAACGATCGCTGGTTTGACGATAAACCACGATTAAAAGTCCCAATGGTTAGTATTACCGTTTTAATATTTTAATTATCATTAAAACCTAATTTGATTATCGCTATTTGGAAGAAAAAAAAAACCTTGTGGTAAATACTGCTCAGCATTAAGCAAAGTTAATAAGAGTCTGTAGTACATGTTAGTAGATACCATGTTATGTTGTAAGTCACCCAACCAGTATTTTTTGCTTGTTTAAACATTTTTAACAAACAAAAACAAAAAGTGCATAGTGCTGCTCATTTTAGTTGTTGTGTATGAGTACTATTTGAACACTTCCAGCCAGTGTTGGGGGTAACGCATTACAAGTAACGCGAGTTACGTAATCAGATTACTTTTTTTCAAGTAACTAGTAAAGTAATGCATTACTTTTTTAATTTACAAGAGAATATCTGAGTTACTTTTTCAAATAAGTAAGTTATTTTCAATGTATTGTAATGTATTTTAAGTCATTGAGAGGCCCTCTTAAGCGTTTGCTGAGGTCCCCTGGTTGAGATCCACCAGTTTATACAACATAATAATAATCATATATCTTTACTGAATAATTTGTGTATTTACTTCATTACTTCAAATCACCATAGACTATTGGCTATTTAAAAAAAATTACAAGACAAGCCATTCGATTTGTCCTGCCACCGTTTCAGTTAGACATATGTGACCCTGGAGCACAAAAGCCAGATTTTCAAATAGTTGTATCTCGGCCAAATATTGTCCTATCCTAACAAACCATACATCAAAGCTTATTTATTCAGCTTTCATATGATGTATAAATCTCAATTTCGAAAAATTGACCCTTATAAAATTGTCACATACTGTATGTCACAAAAATTATTAAAATTGTCACATGTCAAAACACACAAAAAAAGAGCGTGCTCTAAAAAACATTACAGTGCAGGAGAAATGACTGGCCATAACGTTCATGATCACAGATTTGTGCTGCATGTAATCTTGTGACGTGTGTTTCAGATCCTGCTGTTAGACGAGGCAACAGCTGCGATTGACACAGAGACAGACCGCCTCATACAGGACACCATTCGCACCTCGTTCAGTGGCTGCAGCACTCTCGTGATCGCGCATCGCCTCAACACTGTGCTGAACTGTGACAGGATCATGGTCCTGGACCAGGGGCAGGTGGGTCTCCTCCTTCATCTGCTGTTGTTTTAATGATTATGATACAGTGACCCCAAAGACTGTTTTGTTTTGTTTTCTTCAATGGACTGAAAACACTCCTATAGTGTCTTATTATTCTAAATCAATGCACTGATTAACCATAAGAACTGGACATAAAAGATTAAGCTTACATCTAATAAGGTTAGAAAAAACCTTACAAAGGTAAAAATGTCCCTAGAAATCGATTTAAAGGGGTAGTTCACCCAAAAATGAAAATTACCCCATGATTTACTCACCCTCAAGCCATCCGAGGTGTATATGACTTTCTTTTTTCAGACGGATACAATTGGAGTTAAATTAATTAATGTCCAGGCTAATACATGCTTTATAATGGGAGTGGATGGTAGCCCAAAATTTGAAGTCCAAAAAATTGCACCCATCCATTATAAGAGACGTCCACACGGCTCCGGGGGCTTAATAAAGGCCTTCTGAAGTGAAGCAATGCGTTTGTGTCAGAAAAATATCCATATTTACAACTTTATAAACCTTAATTTCAAGAATGGAGTTTGAAGGGGATTTTGGGGGCAGATGAGAAAATGTGGGAATGTAGCAAGGCTCTCTTTAATTTTCTTAAAGATACAGGGTTAGAGCACAGCATATAGGAAATGGGAATTTTATTTGTATTTTTTTTATGATTATAACTATGCTAAGTACATGAAGCCCTGAAGTTGCACACCCCGGTACAGTAGGTGGCGGTATGCACCTGAACAAGTTGGTTGCGACCCGCCAATAAAACCAGAGAGAGAGAGAAACCTTAATCTCTAACTGTCCTACTGTCCTTGGGAGCCTTAAGTACCAGCATAAAAACACACTCATCTAGTTATCGATATCGACAAGATCCCCAAAATTATTGAAATCATTTTTTGCCAGTATCGCTCACCCTTATGTTTAAGTGTCAGTGCATAGACAACAAAACATTAAACCAAGTGGCATTTACAAGAAACAGCTCAAGCATCCAAAAACACAAGTTTTTACAATGTTTTTTTTTTTACTGCTAAAACCATAGATATAACACTCAAAATCAAGATATTTGAAGAATTGTCATTTTTCAGGTTCATAATTAATGTGATAATCAAACGCAACAGGTGCAGTCTGTAGAAATCTCACAGAGCATAATGAATCTTACATGTCAGATTACATGTGAATGTGAAAATATAATCGTGTTAGACATTTTATTCTATAAATGCGGTGTATATACATTGAGAGAGCTGTCAAATTAACATTAACACATGAAATTGAAATTACATGTTTAACAGTGGTGTGTTTTCAAACCGTTAATGCATTTATCGGATGTATTCTTTCTATGTGTAGAATAACTGACTCAGAGCAATAAAATTAGTATTAAATCATAATGTGTCATTTGTTTAGAGATTGCACTTGGTTTGATATTTTGTGTCAAAACACTGCCTGTAATACACAGTATGGACTGCATGTACAGTAGTAAGTCAAAGTCATGCTGATGTGACATCTTCTCATCTTTGAAATAGATTTTGGAGTTTGACACCCCTTCAAACCTGCTGGCTGATGAAAACTCACGTTTTCGTGCCATGATGTTGGCAGCTGAAGAAACGCTTAGTCACCCCTAAGACGTCAGCAGCCACTGAAGACATCCAGAGAGACACATCCAGAGATAGCAGAGCTCCTCCAGCCTGCTGAGAAGACTGAAATCCTTGAAGCTGCTCAAACTGAGATTGTCAGTTTGTTTGGTGTACTTTAAGACGATGATCACGTTGTTATTAGCACACAGAGAGATTCTGAGTTTGTATAGTGTATGATGTCCGACGGGAACGTTTATGTTGATGGCACTTTATTTGTGTTACGTGGCTGAAGAATCCTGCCTTCCGCAGAAGCATCAGGACTCCTGGAGTCAGTCTGAACAAGTGTTGACTGAGTGTGTTTCTCATACCAGTTTGGGTTTGGTGGAAGTAAATTTTGCACACTGATAATGTATTTGTTTTCCTGTCTTTCAGCATTTATTTGCTGTGTAAAAGTATGCAAGATATGTATCGACCATAAGGTATCCTATTGATTTTCCTTATTTGTTTCTGAGGTTTTCAGGCATATATGAATCCAACCAAAGATGACGTTCAGATCAGTCACACATATCAAACATTCCAGAAATCAGCACAAAATGTTTTATTTTTATTAGAATCATTTTGTATTATCTGCTTGTGCTTTTGTTGTTACTCATACTGTGTAAGTTTTGTGCCTCTGCTGTGATATATTTAGCAGATATCTGTCAAAAGCATTGTGCAAATAGTGTTTTAGTGACGGAAATGTGCAATGTGAATTCTTGCAATAATTCAACGTTCTTATTTGTACTATTTCTGCGTAATATGCTGTTCTGGTTTTTTTATTTTTTTTTTGCTTACAACTTTCATTGATTGTCATTATGCTGGGTTGATTATATCCTCAGAAGATTCACGGGAATCCAAAGAGACTTTAATTTATGTTTGAAATCAAGGTAGTTTCATGCACACATGGAGGCTGGGAAGATTGTAATGCTAAATATCTCATTCATTCTTGAGGAGTGACTGTACTACTTCATATCAAGACTACACTTTGTGATCTCTTCAGGAATGGATGACTTGGTTGGTTTTATTTTCCAGGCTGAAATTGCACAGTGAACATTTATGTACCTGAAACATGCAAGGCCTTTGGGGGTCTATATATATTTTTGTATAAATATATATGGCATACCGTGCAGTATCTGTTTAGATGTTTATCTTGGAAATATCAAGATAAAGAGAAATTGGTTCATAAGCTTAGATACAGTATGCTTATTATTAAGAGTTGCCTTGTTCTTTATGATTCAGAGATTATAGTTTTGTGGTTGTTTTATGAACACTTGTTTTATGATTGTTATAAAAATGCTTTATTGAATAAAGATTATATTTATACATTTAACTGTTGTGTGTGTGTGTGTGTGTGTGTGTGTGTGGTTTAGGTAAACCATGGTAATTTTTTATTTATTTTATTTATTTTTTTGACCTTGTGGAGACACTTTTTGGGGAAACAGTTTATAAATCATAATAAGTTGTGTGTTGTTGTTTTTTTAATGTAAAAATACAAACAATCAATCAATAAATAAGCGTTTCCTGTGAGAGTTAGGTTAAGGGGATAGAATACAGTTTGCACAGTATAAAAGTCATTGTTTATGGAAAGTCACCATAAAACATGGAAACCCAAGTCTGTTAGTGTTTGTGTGTGTGTGTGTGTGTGTGTGTGTTTTAACATCTTTTGTCGATTTTCATGTCATTTCTAATTATGCATTATTTGTAGTATGTCAAACAATTAATCGCGACTAATCGCATCCAAAATAAAAGTTTTTGTTTACATAATATATGTGTGTGTACTGTGTATATTTATGATGTATATATAAATATATAAACATACGTGTAAATATTTTAAAAATATTTACACACATATATATATATATATATATATATATATATATATATGCATGTGTGTGTTTATATACATAATAAATATACACAGTACACGCACATATATTATGTAAATAAAAACGTTTATTTTGGATGCGATTAATCGTTTGACAGCACTAGTATTTAAACTGTTTGGACTTTTTTTTTTTTTATATGGCATACATTATATAAAGAAAAACGTTATATAAACATTATGTACTACGAAAAATTATTGATGATTCCATGGAACTCACTTCCAAAAACACAACACAAAACAAATTAACCACAACGACGCTGCGAGAAAGTAAAATCCATCAAAGAAGCTCCATTTGTTGTGCTGGAGGGACTCTTATGTTGTCTCGTGTTTACCCATCATTCTCGCCGGAGCGGAAGCAGCGGGGAAGCAGCGGAGCTCTAGCCGCAGAAGCAGCGCTCAGGATCGGCCACACACCGGCTGACATGCCGCGGGGATGATGGCTGCCTTCGGCATTCTGAGCTACGAACACAGGCCTCTCAAACGGCCCAGACTCGGTCCTCCGGACGTTTATCCGCAGGACCCGAAGCAAAAGGAGGTTAGACGACTTTCCCTCTTCCTCTGTAGCGACATTAAATATATAAATAGCGAATTAAAGCGTGTTTTGAGAGCAGGCCCTGCTTTCACCTAACGGCCAATAACAATGAAACCAACGGCTCGGTTAGCTGAACCGAGACAGAAAAACATAATTTATGCCTCAAATGATTTCGGTCTTCATCTTTGGTTGGGATTGCAGATGGTTACAGAGAGAAAAGGGATCATTTTATTGGTTTAACTCGGCTTTAAAATCTGTATTTATCGAGCTTTTTATTTAAAGCTGCTTTCATCGCTCCTTTAAAAAGGGCCTCGTGAAATCTACAAACGTTATTATCATTATTTTATGTATTTTAAGAAAGCAATAAAAGCTGTGTTAATTGCAAATAAATACTTGAGATGTAAACAGTCCTAGTAGCCTGTTACTGCTGTCGGGATGTTTATGTTTGTTGACAACTTCTACTGAATTGATGTGTTTATCGTGGATGCGTTTTAAAACCTAGCAAGCTTGTCTAGCTAGGCAACATTTCTGGGCATCACGGGTTCCTTAAGAATTGTGTACATTGATGATCTATGCATGCAAAAAATATACGTGCATATGATGCCTACAATGCCTTTCTAGCTAGAAACAGTCTCAGTTGTCAGCAAATTGAAGAAACAGAAAATGAATATGAAAGTATATTTGAATATCTCTTTTTCATTATGTGGAGTGCATCATGAGTCTTATTATTTGTTAGCATTGCATGTGAAGTCTTATAATTGCACCTGCAGGTTTTTCTGTCTGAATGCAGTGTTTGTTGTCTTGATGCATTTTGAAAACTGGTTTGGATGAATGAGTGATTGTCGTTCTCTGGTGTTTGATTAACTCTCCAGCACACACTGAAATGAAAATGAGATATGCATGCATGAGGCATTTAGTAACAAATCTCTCTCGTTGGTTAGGATGAGTTGACGGCATTGAACGTCAAGCAAGGATTTAACAACCAGCCAGCTGTTTCAGGCGATGAGCATGGCAGCGCTAAAAATGTCAATTTCAACCCTTCAAAGGTAAGGTTATCAGTGCAGAGGTTATCTGCATACATGTGTTTTATCAGTCAAATCCTCATTCTTTTACAGGTTTTTGGAAACGCAGAACTTTATCTGTTTTTGTCGGATATCTGGACACAGATATTGAAAATGTTTACATACCACCCTCAGATTTGAAAACTTCCATAGTATCTTGTAGGGCTGTGCAATATATCGAAATATCGCAATATGAATATCGCTACGGCTTGCAATATTTAGGGCCATGAACAAAAGACAAAGAAATAATCACTCACTGCTCTTACCTAAATAACTTTTGTAGCTTAAATAAGAATCAGTGCATATCGAATTCATAGAGTAAATACTAAGCAGTGTTGTATTTTTCCTTTTTATTATTCAGTTCCTAAACTCATGTTAAAATGACATTGTTGTGGTTTTACAGGAGCTCTTGATACATACATACATGCATGCAAAATAACCATATATATTTGACACAAGATAGTTATAGAAGTTCACAGAACTGACTCAGCAACAGCTGAGTAAAACTGTTTCATCTGAGCATGTGGCACTTTAAGCATTATCGTATCGCATATCGCATTTTTCTTCAATATCGCACAGCCCTAGTATCTTGCATCAACAACAAATGGCAAAATGAATAAGAGCAATGTATCAAAAACAAACAATATGCATTTGACATTACTGTGGGTAAAATCATATATATACAGCTATGGAAAAAATGAAGAGAACACTTGAAAGTTCTCAGTTTCTCTGGATTTATAATTATGTGTTTGAGTAACACAATTTTTGTTTTATTCTGTAAATGACCTAAGACATTTTAAATAAAAATGTTGTCATTTAGAGCAGTGGTTCTCAAACTTTTTACAGCGGCGCACCCCCTGGGGCATTTAACATTCTTCTGCATACCTCCGCTCTTCCACTTAGACCGCAGTCACACCTTTTCTATTAAAGGACAATTTGCCCCCTTAAATAGATTTAAAGGTGCTTTTTTTTTACCTTTATTGAGGCAAATATTTTCTATCCTTATTAATTGTATCTTATGTCATGTTGTATATCATATTCTTAACATTCCATTAAGTGTATTATTAATATAATAAATAAAGCAATAAATTATGTGAAATCAAGGTGATACTTGTAGATTTAAAAATAAAACCGCCAATACACTCTTAAAAATAAAGGTGCTTCACGATGCCATAGAAGAACCTTTTTGTCTAAATGGTTCCATCAAGAACCTTTAACATCTGAAGAACCTTTCTGTTTCACAAAAGCTTCTTTGTGGTGAAAGAAGGTTCTTCAGATTATAAAAAGGTAAGAAAGAGATGGTTCTTTAAAGAACCTTTGTCTGAATGGTTCTTTGTGGAACCAAAAATGGTTCTTCTATGGCAGCGCTTTGAAGCTTTTAAGCACCTTTATTTTTAAGAGTGTAGGCGACAATTGGTCAAAATAACAAAAAGATGGCATGTTTTCAGACATGTTTATATTCATTTTTAGACAACACAATACTCATTTTTTGACTTCAGAAGAGTTAATAAATCAGTATGTGCTATACTATATATATATATATATAGAGAGAGAGAGAGAGAGAGAAAATACACTATTTTTTAGTTTTCTGATACCAAAAACCTGTTAGCAGCAAGTCTTGTCTAGTACCCAAAACTGTAATAATCTTCTATCAGCTAAGAAGTTGACTGAGTAAAGCCAGAGAAGAGCAGTTTATTGAATAATCTTAGTTTCGTGTTTCAATGCTCAGACTTCATCTGAGCAGCACAAATGCAACGAGTGTTATACCACAACAAGCAATAGCAACGTCCTGTTAAAAACCAACATCCAACCTTGAAATTGAGACATTCTCTTATATCTTTACTCGTGAAGACAAATAACCCTTAAAGGGGTCATATGATGCGATTTCAACTTTTCCTTTCTCTTTGGAGTGTTACAAGCTAAATACACAAAATAATGTTCTTTTGAGCAACGTCATATGACCCCTTTAAAACCACACAATAAGATTAAACAACAATGGAAAATAATACAAAAATAAAATAAATGACTAATCAATGAATGAATCAATAAAACAAGTATATAAATGATTTAAATCAGGGGCCTGGAGGGCCGGTGTCCTGCAGAGTTTAGCTCCAACCCTAATCAAACACGCTTAAACCAGCTAATCAAGGTCTTACTAGGTATACTAGAAACTTCCAGGACAGTTGGAGCTAAACTCTGCAGGACCGAGTTTAGAGACCCCTGGTTTAAATGATTATTATAAGTGATTATATGGTTACCGTAAAACTTCAAATAATAGCCCGGGCTTCTATTTACCCATTTGAGACCGGCCTTTATTTACCCAAACCTGTCGTCACACCAGGCGTTTAAAAGAGACAGGCGTCTATTTGGGACTCGGCTATTATTTGAAGTTTTACGGTAAATGGAACAATAAAATTAATGATTATGAATGAATGAATGAATGGATAAATGTATATAAAAGAAACTAGTTCTCAACACAAGTTCTCAATATCAAATGAATATCCACTGTGCTGGTTTAAGTTCTCTCAGGAAATTATTTTACTCCTCAAACACTCGAAGGCAAAGTCGACCCTGAATCCATTTTTGTTCCAAACCTGACGTGGGTTTTTAAATTGCTCTTTTATACTGTTTCAACTTGTTACTCACCATGAAAATAGCCAAGGAACCTGGCGTGGTGTTAAAACATCAACCAGCCAAGCTCATTCATTTACCTTTGGCATTCCTGTTACCTTCTGCTTTTCAGATCAGCTCAAACTTCAGCAGCATCATTGCGGAGAAGTTACGCTGCAACACATTTCCAGACATTGGCAAGAGGAAGCCGCAGGTCAATCAGAAGGACAACTTCTGGCTCGTCACAGCGCGGTCGCAGAGCTCCATTAATAACTGGTTCACAGACTTGGCCGGGACTAAACCCTTAACTCAGCTCGCTAAAAAGGTTCGCTTTTGCCATGCTGCGGTTTGTAAACTCTGAACAGAGCGCTTATGTAGATACAGAACATGCTGTTAACAGCACACACCCAGTGTTTACAAAGTGAACGTGCAAAGAAAGTCAAATGTCCTTTACAAAAAAAGGTAAAACAACGATGTCAGATTGTTTTGACGTGATTATGTAATGCGAGAATTTGTGGACGCGCATCGCGGAGCTAGTGCAAGATGTGCATTTGTGGTTTAAAAAGTATATACATTTTTAAAAAATGTTTAAATGAGCGATGGTTTCGCTAGATAAGAGCCTTATTCCTCGGCTGGGATCGTGTAGAGCTCTTTGAAGCTGCACTGAAACTGCAATTTGGACCTTCAGCACGTTGTGCACCATTCCGCAATTTGTTCAACCCATTGGGTCCCCATTGAAGTCCATTATATGGAGAAAAATCCTGGAATGTTTTCCTCAAAAGCCTTTCTTAGCGACTGAAGACAGAAAGACATGAACATCTTTGATATCACGGGGGTGAGTAAATTATCAGGAGATTTTTATTCTGGAAGTGAACTAATCCTTTAGGTTTTGCATTAGTCTCATTGCTGTGTGTGTGCACTAGGTTCCCATCTTCAGCAAGAAAGAGGAAGTGTTTGGCTACCTTGCCAAGTACTGTGTGCCGGTGATGCGATCTGCTTGGATGATTAAAATGACGTGTGCGTATCACGCTGCCATAACCGAAACCAAGGTGAAGAAGAGGCATGTCATTGACCCCTGCATAGGTTAGTATGGGTATTGTACACGCTCTACTTTATATGCTCGTGTAGTAATTTGGCTCTATCGAACATGCAACACTGTCCTCGTTTAATCTGGGAATGAAGATAAAATGTCCTCTGTTGTTGTGCTGTGTAATTGGGCTTTGTGCTGCAATGCCTCACTGGCTTTATCTGGCTTCTGCAGAATGGACTCAGATAATTACTAAATACCTGTGGGAGCAGCTGCAGAAGGTGGCAGAGTTTTACAGACAGTCTCCCAGCCAGGGCTGCGGGTCTCCTCTGCCCGCTCCTCCTGCTGAGGTGGAAACCGCCATGAAACAGTGGGAGTACAACGAGAAGCTGGCCATGTTCATGTTTCAGGTAGGTGAGCCCTTTTTTATTTACAGATGCAGTGCAGCTGTCTCTTAATACAGAGGGCTGTCAACTAGAAACATGGAGTTATGTCCCACAAAGATTACGTTTTCAAAGGGATAGTTCACCCAAAAATAACAATTTCATCATTTACTCACCCTCGTCATTCCAAACCCATAATGTTTGTTTATTTTTGGAACACAAATGAAGATATTTCTAAATACGCTCTCATTATTTTTGTCCATTCATTGAAAGTCACCTCACCTATTATATATACGCCACCATGTAAAAGTTTGGGGTTGGGAAGATTTCTGTTTTTGAAAGAAGTCTCTTCAGCTCACCAAGGCTGCATTTATTTGATCAAAAATACAGCAGTATTATGAAATATTATTACAATTTAAAATAACTGTTTATTATTGTAATATATTTTAAACTGTAATTTATTTCTGTGATCAAAGCTGTATTTTCAGCATCATTACTCCAGTCTTCAGTGTCACATGATCCTTCAGAAATCATTCTGATATGCTGATTTGCTGCTCAAAACACATTTATTTGTGCAAACTGTGATACTTTTTTTCTGGATTCTTTGAAAAGACAGTTTAAAAGAACAGCATTTATTTGAAACACAAATCTTTTATAACATTACAAATGTCTTCACTGTTGCTTTTGGTCAATTTAATGCATCCTTGCTGAATAAAATAATTAATTTCTTAAAGGGGTCATATGATGTTGCTAAAAAGAACATTATTTTGTGTATTTGGTGTAATGAAATGTACTGCCTGCTGTGACCATTTATAAGTCTTTAGCCAAAGGGGAGTGTTTTTGTTGTATGTGTTGATGGGATTGTTTATTGTGTGTATGTGCACATGTGTAACAGGATGGCATGTTAGACAGACATGAGTTCCTCACCTGGGTGCTGGAGTGTTTTGAGAAGATCAGACCTGGCGAGGACGAGCTTCTGCGATTCCTGCTGCCGCTCCTGTTACAGGTCAGTTAATGCAGCAGATCTGCACATTCACTGTCCCTTTGTGTTTCATTTGATTACATATGTCAGCTAAATTTAGACATTTCAGAAGTGTTTATTGGACTGATATTTTAGTATCGTTGGTATGCTAGTTTATTAATTATATCTTGAATTTGATTTTATTTAGATTTTTTCTGTTTTCAATTACATTTTTAGTTAAAGTTTTGGTATTTTTGTCATTTTTATTGTTTTTTTAAATATATATATATATAGTGTTTTTATTACATTTTAGGTTTTATTTTTAATTTATGTAGTTTTAGTTATTTTAGTACTTAAAAATTAGAAGTTTTGATTTGGCAACTAGCTGTAATAAAATAGTTTTAAATTTGTTTATTTTATTTACTTCAGTTAATGTTTAATGGGTCATTCCGTGTCAACTCAATCAGAGGTCCCAGCTCAAATTATTGATTTTGTTAATATTTTTTTCTGGTGAAAGAAATGCATGCATACATGAAGAAAAAAGCCAAAATATTAAATGTCATCCATGTATATTTACTGAATAATCCACTATTTTGTAGAGGAGGGTCAAAATGACAATTTTCACCTGAGATCCAGAGGCAAATTACAGGAGGGTAAAAATGATTTCATACAGATGGCAGCATCATTATATTACTTTTACACGGAGATTGGTAGGCCTGTTAGTAAAATCTGTTGACTTTATCAATCTTTGTTGCATTATGTGCCAATGGTGATCGTTCAAAAAGCACTTTCCAAGTTTTTTTCTCCAAAGTTTGCATGTCTGTGACTCAAGAAGTAAATTCTTCCGAAGATATCTTAATGTCCTTTTAGATTTTGGGTCTTAACAAACTTTCCTTTTGTCATCTTCATTTTTAAGGCCCTCTATGGTTCCGTTCCAACGATATTGGAGTCTCAATATGGCTTCAGGAGTAAATTGTTAAATTGTACACATTTTGTGTGGCTAGAAACCAAATGTGGTTTCACTTTGCGTTCAGCTGATGTTTTTTTCTTTTAAAGAGAAATGTCTGAAGAACAAATAATCTTGAAACTATAAATGTGACCTGCGCTGGCAAAATGAGTCGCAATGAGCAATTTATCAAAAATGAAATAGTTTTATTTTTATTCTATGTTAAGACCTACTGTAATGCACGGATCTAAAATATAATGTTACACATCAGATGTTTTCCCCCAACAGTTCCCCAAACGTTCACATAAAATGTAACAGATTATGTTTGCATGAATACTGTAATTCTGTGTATGTTTATCGGATTGCGCGCAATCAGAAGCACCTTTGCGCACGCGTTTCGGATGACAGTCAGCGTGAGAAGCGAGGGGAGAAAGGTACTATTTGGAGCATTGGGATCGCTAGATGATGGTTTAATGAACTCATTTTTGTGAAAACCTCAAATTTGACTAAAATCGACATTTTTCACTTTTTTTCCTGTAGCTCAAAATTAGCAGCATTCCCACTCATTTTGCCAGCACGGGTCACATATGTAACTTGTTTCCCTCTATCAAAACATTTGCATTGTACATACTTGTCCAAGTGCCATAAATATTCTTTTTCCAAAGTTTTACAAGTAGTATTAAAAATATCTCCATACTGCCCAGTCTGACTCAATGTCCACTTTGTTGAATTTTATCCATTTTCAGTGGTTGAAAACCAAATGTGGTCACATTTTAACCCGGTTTTACCCAAACAAATATAAACGATGTATGTTCTGAATAGAAACAGAATGTTCCTGTGGCTCAGTGGTAGAGCATTGCATTAGCAGCGCAAAAGGTCATGGGTTCGATTCCCAGGGAACACACATACTGGTAAAAAATGTATAGCCTGAATGCACTGTAAGTCGCTTTGGATAAAAGCGTCTGCTAAATGCATAAATTAAATTAAACGATAAAAGTATAATACTTTCAGCTTAGTTTAACACAATCTTACCAGAGATTTCTGCAGATTTTTCTCCCAAAATCAGGACAGAGAAGCCATAAAGGAATGAGTGTGTCTTGACAAGGTCGTTATCTGAATGCAGTGTGATTATTTTGACCCTGTCTTTATTTCGTTCAGTACTCGGGAGAGTTTGTGCAGTCAGCCTATTTATCTAGACGGCTGGCATATTTCTGCACACGCCGGCTCAATCTGCTGCTGAGCGATGGCAGTCTTGGACCAGGCCCAGGCGGACACCCGGCCCACGTCATTTCAGCACAGCAAGGGAACGCTCTGCCCTCCACCCCAACCTCCCAGCCTGCAGGGGGCAACCAGCCCCAAACCCCCTTCACAGACTTCTACATCTGCCCCCAGCACAGGCCCGTGGTGTTCGGACTCAGCTGCATGCTGCAGGTACTGCCACATATGAGTCACTCCAGCTGCGTTTCTCTGATCCCTGTCATTGAGTTTCTCTTGACACTGTTCTCGTTCTGTTTGTCCCTCTCTAGAGTATCGTGTTGTGTTGTCCCAGCGCTCTGGTCTGGCACTACTCTCTGACAGATAGCCGTAATAAGACCGGCTCGCCATTAGACCTCTTGCCAATCGCGTCCTCTAACCTGCCCATGCCGGGGGGCAACAGCAGCTTTAACCAGCAGGTTTGACTTCGCTGGATTTTACATGATCTGATCTACTGGCTCTTCATCTAATCAAAGCAATTAATCTGAAGGAACGTGATGCTTCTCAGGTTCGTGCCAAGGTGAGGGAGATTGAAGAGCAGATCAAAGAGAGAGGACAGGCGGTGGAGTTTCGCTGGTCCTTCGACAAGTGTCAGGAGACGACAGCAGGTGGGCATGAATGAGGTGTTCAGCATCTCCGTGTGGACAGGACTTATTTTGTATAATATAGGATCCGTGGTGTGTCCGGTAGGTTTCACCATCAGCCGGGTTCTGCATACATTGGAGGTTTTGGACAACCACAGCTTTGAGAAGTCTGACTTCAGCAATTCCCTGGATTCGCTGTATAACCGGATCTTTGGCTCGGGACAGAGCAAAGACGGACACGAGGTAAAGGTTTATTTGTTGTTATGGGATCCCACTGAATTTCAAAGGATTGGGGTCACAGTAAGAAATTAACAATTTTACTCCGCAAGGACAGATTCAATTGATCAGAAGTGACACTAAAGACTTTTAGAACGTTACAAAAATATTTCCGTTTCAAATAAATCTTCATTCTTTTCAGCAAAGAATCCTGAAAAAGTCTTGCAGCTTCCAGCACAACTGTTTTCAACACTGATAATAATCAGAAATGTTTCTTGAGCAGCAAATCAGCATATCAGAATGATTTCTGAAGGATCGTGTGACACTGAAGACTGGAGTAATGATGCTGAAAATTCAGCTTTGACCACAGCAATAAATTACATTTTAACATATATTAAAATAGAAAAGTCATTTTAAATTGTTATATTTCACAGTTGTACTGTTTTTACTGTAATTTTGATCTAATAGGTGCAGCCTTAGCGAGCACAAAAGACTTCAGAAACACCAAAAAAAAAAAAAAAAAAAACCTTTGAAAACCTCAAAATTTTTGAACAGTAGTGTGCCAATAAAGCACAGTTATTAACTGTAGTAAGTGTTGTGATACTTAGCTCTTCACCAACTTTATTGTAATAATTAATGTGTAATAACTACATAGTACTAATTATATAGCACTAAGATGTTTTAGCTTGATCTGATGTTTGATGTGTAATGTGCTGGTCACTGTAGATGAGTCCAGACGACGATGCGGTGGTGACCCTGCTGTGTGAGTGGGCTGTTTCCTGTAAAAGGTCCGGGCCGCATAGAGCCATGGTGGTGGCCAAACTCCTGGAGAAGAGGCAGACGGAGATTGAGGCAGAGGTGCTGCTGGGAACCATTGTTTTCCATTATGAAAATGGTGTTGTAATGTCCAGCTGCACAGTTTTCACAGTAATCTTGTGTGTGTTTTTAGAGGTGTGGCGAGTCGGAGGTCGTGGATGAGAAGGGCTCTGTGTCATCAGGGTCTCTTTCTGCTGCTACTCTGCCCGTCTTCCAGGACGTCCTACTGCAGTTCCTGGACACACAAGCCCCTGTTCTCAGTGAGTTCATATTTTAGCATCCTTAGGGGTTTCTTTCCAGTTCCATTAACTGCTTTAGAGAAGGATTATGCTTTTAAATAAGGTATACACTGCCGCTCAAAAGTTTGGGATCAGTAGGATTTTTATTGTTTTTTTTAAAGAAGTTTCTTCTGCTCATCAAGGCTGCATTTATTTGATCAAAAATACAGAAAAAAACTGTAATATTGTGAAATATTATTGCAATTTTAAATAACGGTTTTCTTTCTTAATATACTTTAAAATGTAATTTATTCCTGTGATGCAATGCTGAATTTTTAGTATCATTACTCCAGTCTTCAGTGTCAAACATGACGACATGCTAATTCATAATCAGTGATGGAAGCAGTTTTGCTGCTTAATATTTTTTTGGAACCTGTGACACTTTTGTCAGGATTTTCTGATGAATAAAAGTTAAAAAGAACAACATTTATTTAAAATATAAATCTTTTGTAACAATAGAAGTCTTTACTATCACTTTGTATCAATTTAGCACATCCTTGCTGAATAAAAGCATTAATTTCTTTAAAAAAAAAAAGAAAGAAAAAAATTTACTGATCCCAAACTTTTGAGCAGTATTGTATATTGTTACAAAATATTTCTATTTTAAATAAATGCTGTTCTTTTTAACTTTTTATTCATCAAAAAATCCTGACAAAAGTGTCACAGGTTCCAAAAAAATATTAAGCAGCAAAACTGCTTCCATCACTGATTATGAATTAGCATGTCATAATGTTTGACACTGAAGACTGGAGTAATCAAAAAATGTATCAAGGTTTGCACAAACACAACTGTTTTCAACATTGATAGTAATAATAATATTAAAAGTTTCTTGAGCACAGAATCCGCATATTATAGTTATTTCTGAAGGATCATTGGATTAATGATGCTAAAAAAAATTCAGCTTTGAGCACAAGAATAAATTACATTTTAAATGAAAACAGTTATTTAAAATTGGAATACTATTTCACAATAAAACAGATTTTACTGTATTTTTGATCGAATACATGCAGGCTTGTTGAGTTTTTAAAACATTAAAAAATCGTACCGATCCCAAAGTTTTGAACAGTAGTTTCTGTGACTAATATTGTGACTAAACTGCTTGTTGTTCAGGAGGAGAGCGCAAGTCACGAGTGTAACCAGCGTCTGGTGGTTCTCTATGGGGTTGGCAAACAGCGAGATGAAGCTCGCCACGCCATCAAGAAGATCACCAAAGACATCCTGAAGGTTCTCAACCGCAAGAGTACAGCAGAGACAGGTGCGGCGATGAACACGACTCAAACCGACAGATCTGAAAATGTAACTGTGAAGATTATTAAAGGAATAGTACACTCAAAGAAGTCATTTATTAATCCTTAAGTTGCTGTCATTGATTATTCATAGCTCTAGCCCCATTTCAATGCTAATAGCAATCATTGACTTATTATATTCAAGCTTAGCTGCCGACTCGGTCAGAAAGAGCAGCCCCGCGTTTGCTTTCACTTTTTAATGGAGGTGTAATTGAACACCTCCATTATTCCCCTCGCAGCAGACTGAGCCTTGGTCCTGACATTAAACGGCTCAACCCACAGCTATTACTATTTCAAGCACGACAAAAACACTGACCCGTAACCCTGTGGCAGCTCTTAATCTTTTAATCTGAAAAAGCGTTTGACAGAGTGACCTCAGCCGGTTGACTGATGGATGCTGGATGAGGGCACTTTATACTTTGATAGCGATCTCCGCTTTTCATCTTATTGAAATCCTGTTAGGGCTCACTCTCGTGCATGTGTGCTGTATAATCGTTGATTTTTGTCTTTTGTTTTCTTTCCTCAGGAGGTGAGGAAGGTCAGAAGAGGAAGAGGAGTAAACCTGAGGCCTTTCCCACCGCTGAAGACATTTTCTCTAAATTCCAGCACCTCTCACACTTTGACCAGCACCAGGTCACCTCTCAGGTCAGCCTGACTTGCATCGATTAACTGCTGTGACCTGCATTTTTTTGTCTTAAACCAAAATATACTTTTCACCATTTTGCAGACAGTGCATGTGATGTAATTTTTCTCATCAGCACTGTCCACTAATTTTGGCACAGCCTGATTTTTATCATTTACGTTTCCACAAATCTTACTCTATACTAGGGCTGTCAAAATGGCTGAAAATCTAAATTTGAATTTTGTACTTAAATATGATCAATATTCGAATTTAAAAGGCATAATTTCAGTTAGGGGGAAAAAAGCTTTTGGCTTCTCTCTTGAGGCCACAAGAGGGCGCATCGAGCAAAATATCACTAATGCACGTTTATTCAAAGCAATAAAATAACACGACTCTTTGGAAAAAGAAGTGCATAATTTTTAAATTAATGTTTATAAACCATATATAATTAAGTTGCTTAAATGATTAGAAACAAAACAGCATCATGTATGTATGTATAGTTTAATACAAAGGACCGAAAACCAATCACAAAGAGTACTTTCTTCATTTAAAAACATGAGATGCAGTGGGCTGGTTAGTGGTACAGCTAATGCAATAACTATAATATTAACGAGTTAAATCTTTGTAACGTGCTACAGTATCTCTTTAAGTGTTCATCGTTAAAATTGTATTTTAGTATTTTTAATTAAAATTAGGCCATAGGCTCGACAATAATTGATGCTGCAATCATTGATGTTCTTTACATCAATGATTGCAGCAGGTTTCAGTTTAAAAGCAGCGCTGTCTCTTTAAACCTGATGCAAATGACGCAGGTCTGACACGCATCCGATTTTCTCTCAACTCTTTTACAGTCATTTAGGATTTTGTGACTGTGTTTGCAAGGTCACCCGCCAAAAATGGCCATTTTGATAGAGTTTTGTGTGTTTTTGTCCACGAAAAAGAACTGGCGAACTGTATAAAGTGGCTTTCCATTTCTTAACGCAAGCAAAATCTGTTTGGGGAAAAGATTTGGCCTCACAATGAAAATCCCAATTTCATGGATCCCTACTGAAATGACTGGACTCTGCCTGCAAAATTTAGCAAATTATGGAAGCTGTGACTACACCTTAACAGGTTGTTTTTGCTACTGTGCCTTTAAGAGTTCTGTATGTCAATGAGCTCTGTAAGGATTGCCTAAACTGCACTGAAGCCTGAATAAACTACACCGATGTTAAATTCTGTGCCATTTTTAAAACATTAGGCATCATAACACTGGCCAACTTTGTAATGGTTACTGAGGAAAATCTAGGAATCGCACACTAAACAACTGAGGATCACACAACCAGGCTTTCTAGTCATTCTCAACGCAGCAGAATCACATATTACCTCATTGCTAGGAGATGCATTATTCTAAAATAATTTCAAAATGTCAAACATGTTTGATCTTCTCCAATTGGATGTAATCATCAGTCAAGAGTCTGTGCCCATCATGGCATGGTTTTCTGCAAAATAAGTCAATTCCATCTGCCCAATTTCTGCAGACCGGCTCTGAATTTCCAGCATCCAGACTGTAAATCTGGGCAAAATCTGTGTAGCGTATCCAAGCCTACTGATTTAAATTCACTGTAAATCCTGACCTTCTCCAAATCTCATTAGTGTTCAGACGTCATTCAGATGGTGTGTTTGGGTTCTCACAGGTGTCCAGGAATGTTCTGGAACAGATCACCAGCTTTGCCTTAGGGATGTCCTATCACCTCCCACTGGTCCAACACATCCAGTTCATCTTTGACCTCATGGAGTATTCGCTCAATATAAGTGGCCTCATTGACTTTGCTATACAGGTATGACAGCTGATCCCAAAATATCATCTCTGTTTGGGGTCGTATGAGTTAGGGGTGTAATGGTGCACAGAAGTCACATACCTCGTTTTTGAGGTCACTGTTCCATATGATTTCGGTACAACCAGAAATTAATTTTTTCACTTATTTTGAACAGAGACACCTGCACAAAACAGCAGACGGACTGAATGATATAGAATCTCCTTGGTTACCGCTGTAAACAAAATAGCTGAGCTTATAAACACTACTTTAATATGCATTATATGGAGTTAAGAGGAAAAGAAAATGCCATCGAAACATTTCTGAAGACGGTCAGTTCCTCTCAGAGATGCATTCTTTTAAACTACAACATAATTGTCTTCCTATATTGTGAACATCACAAAAAGTGAGCTTGATCAGTATTTTCTCCTCTTTACAGACTTCATAAAAATTACACACAAATTACATTTTGGGAAATGATTGCAATGTGGTTTGTGTGCAATTCTGGAATAGAGATCGGCTATAATAAAACTAAAAACCAGTTCCAATTTATAGATGTTCTCCCTCACTTCATACATGCTTGTAAAAGAAAAGCATTATTACATTGTCCATCAGTGATTAACTCCAGCGTGTGTTGTGTCATGCAGCTGCTGAATGAGTTGAGTCTGGTGGAAGCAGAACTCCTGCTGAAGTCCTCCAACCTGGCAGGCAGTTACACTACAGGTCTTTGTCTGTGTATCGTGGCCGTTCTGCGGAGATACCACTCCTGCCTCATCCTCAACCCTGACCAGACCGCACAGGTCTTCGATGGGTACGTCATGTTCATGTCTACCAATCGATTTGACAGTGCAATCACAGCTTTTGGAATGATGTTAAAGGGATAGTTCACCCAAAAATGAAAATTGGCTGTTAATTTACTCCCTCTCAGGCCATCCAAGATGTAGGTGACTGTTTTTTCTTCAGTAGAAGAGTAAAGAAGATTTTTAGCTGAAATCGTGGTCCTTGGTGATTCATAAAATACAAGTCAGCGGCTGCCCGTTTTTTAGAATAAAAAAGCATATCAAAGAACACAGAATGAATCACTGTGGCTCCTGACGATATATTGAGGTCTTATGAAGCGAAACGATCGGTCTGTGCAAGAAACTGAACATTATATACAACATTATTACCTGAAATCCAGAGCCTCGGACAAACGGTCCGGAGTGATGTCCGGTTCATGAGCGAGTCATTCTTTTGAACCGGTTCTTTTTAGTGAATTACTTGAACCAGTTCACCAAAAACGGACTGAAGCATCTGAAACAGTTCACAGCTCGAGCAGCACAGATCTACAAGTTACTCAATCAAAACTCACTAACAGACGCACGTAAAACATCCACATTTCACATCATTATTGGGTGCTTTAATAATTTAATTGTGTATATGTGACATCATTGCGTGATTACGTAAATGAACTAGTGAATTGAACCAGTTCGTTGAAACAAACTGTCCGAAAGAACCAGTTCACAGAAAATAATCTTCCCCGTTTGCCCGAGGCTCTGGATTTCAGGTAATAATGTTTTAAATAATGTTCAGTTTCTTGCACAGACCGATCATTTCGCTTCATAAGACCTCAATATATCGTCAGGAGCCATGGGTGTTAATTTTGTGTTCCTTGATATGCTTTTTAATTTTCAAAAACGGGCAGCCGCTGACTTGTATTTCATGAATCACCAAGGACCACAGTTTCAGCTAAATATCTTCATTACTGTTCTGCTGAAGAAAAAAAGTCATCTACATCTACATGAGGGTGAGTAACCGCAAATTTTCATTTTAGGGTGAACTATCCCTTTTTGGACAATGATGAATATCTCGTATCATTCTCGGCAGGCTGAGGATTGTAGTCAAGTCTGGCGTGAACCCTGCAGACTGTTCCTCAGCTGAACGCTGTATCCTGGCCTATCTCTACGACCTCTATACCTCCTGCAGTCACCTGAAGAGCAAGTTTGGAGAGATTTTCAGGTAAGAGCAACGAATCCATACAATTTTTTTTTTTTAAGTGTTTCCCCATATTCCTGGTCTCTAATGGTGTCTGTTTTTCGTGTGAATTCCCACAGTGAGTTCTGCTCAAAGGTGAAGAATTCCATCTACTATAACATCGACCCATCAGACTCCAACATGCTGTGGGATCAGGTGTTCATGATCGACGCTATCGCTAATCCTACCGCGCACAACCTCAACCACTCCATGGTGGGAAAGATCCTCAATGACAGCCCAGCTAACCGATACAGCTTCGTGTGTAACGTGCTCATGGACGTGTGCGTGGACCACCGTGATCCCGAGAGGTTAGCATCTAATTCTGTCGATTTATGTTTTGAGCAGGTTCATTATAAATGTATTAGACGAAATGTATAAGTATTAGACGAAAAACGAAACAAAAATTAGAAATGTTGTACTGTCAACAGAACTCAAATTAAAACGAAACCCAAATAGTAATTAAAAATTGACAAATGCACATTAAACTAATTAAAATGAAAACTGAAAATACTAAAATAATAATATAACTAAATGAAATAACTAAAAATAAAAGCTAATTCTGAATATTATTAAAAGTAGTATACAAGTAATATTATTAAACATTAATATTTTAATATTATATAATTATATAACATAATATAAATAACACTGAATTTGAGAAATAAGCCTTTACTTTTTGATAAAACATCAATATGAGAAAACAGACCAGTGTTCAGTTAATAATTATCAGTTAATCAGTAATAATCAAACTGTGAAATATTCCAGTTAATTAGCCTGTAGGCAGTTTATGGTAGCAATAAACAACTAAAGATTCTTTTATGATTTTTATTTTTTTTACATTTTACTATCGAAGTTTAAATTGTAGAATAGATTAACATCTGTCTTTAACACTTCAAGACAAAAATTGTCTAATTAGTCTTTAGTAAACTTCATGGCTAAGTAAAATATATTTATTAAAATGTATTGCTATCACAAAAATGACCGATGTGATTAATGTAAACACTGCCCTGAGTCCTGTCGCATAATTCTCCAATAGCAGAACAGCTGCATGGCATCTGTAGCTTCTCCTGCGGTGAGCAAATGCTGTGTGGTTTGTTTCAGGGTGAATGATATCGGGATCCTGTGCGCGGAGCTGACGGCGTACTGTCGCTCTCTCAGCGCTGAGTGGTTAGGAGTGCTCAAGGCTCTCTGCTGCTCCTCCAACAACGGCAACTGCGGCTTCAACGATCTGCTCTGCAACGTTGACGTGAGTCAGCTTTCATCTGTTGCATTGACCGCTAACATGTTGTAGCCATGTGATCTCATTTGGTATTTGAAGCATATTTGTGCAAATGATCTGACTAAAACATGTTCCAAAAAAACATGCACTAAAACAACCACAAAGATACATTTTTGTGGATTATCAAGGTTGCCATAGAATGACTAGAAGAGTTACTCTTCAGCTAGAAGTCGATGGATGAGTGGTGAAGCGTGTAGATGATTTAACCCTCAGGTCTTCCAAGATGTTGGTGACTTTTTTTCTACAGCAGAACAGTAAAGAAGATTTTTAGTTGAAACGGTGAACCTTTGTGATTCATAAAATGCAAGTCAGCGACTGCTCGTTTTTAGAATAAAAAAAGCATATCAATGAACACAAAATTAATACCCGTGGCTCCTGACGATATATTGAGGTCTTATGAAGTGAAACGATCAGTCTGTGCAAGAAACTGAACATTATTTACAACATTATTACCTGAAATCCAGAGCCTCGGACAGTCGGTCCGGAGTGATGTCTGGTTCACAAATGAATCATTCTTTTGAACTGGTTCTTTTTGGTGAACTAGTTGAACCAGTTCACCAAATCACACTGAACCGTTCGTGGCTCGAGCAGCACAAATCTACAAGTTACTGAATCAAAACTCACTAACAGACGCCTGACAGTCACTACGACTGGAAATTAGCAGAAATAGCGGGGTATCTGATCCTGTGATGAATGAATCATTCAACGCTTCAGTTCCTCCAGCAGACACTGAACTGAGGAAACAGTTCGACTCGGACCGAAGACCGACGAGCCGCTGATATTCACATGCATGAACCGAACACACAAATGAAGGGCCAAATGGAAATTTTTATGGTTTCTCATTGTTTATGTAAAAAGGTGAGCTGATGAAGACTAGTTTATTCACTTTATATGCTTTAGACATGCAAAACATCCGCGTTTCACATCATTATTTGATGCTTTAAAGGTCCCACCTTTCTGAAGTTTTATTTGAGGTTTTGATGTCCTTAAGAATATATATTTGCGGTATAAGTACCAAAAACCATCTCAATATGTTTTTACAGCTCCTCTCTCAGGAGCTCTGCTGAGAACAGGTCGATTTTGGCCTGTCTAATTAATATTCATGAGCCTCTCTTCTGATTGGCCTGTTGTGTTCTGAGTGACGCACGGCCAACCACAGGTAACTAGGGTCAGCGA